CTTCAATGCTCCGCACATACCATCAAGGATCCCAGCCATCATCTTGGCATTATGGGAAGTAGAGATTGTCATATAGGGCATGGATCTCCTTGATTTCCATATCTGAGCTCAAGAAGGAATTTCCTTCCCAGGCCCACCACATGAGCCATTGTCCATGGGGGATTTTTATTTCTCTTCTGCCCTACAGCATATGAGCTGATTTGCTTCCATGAGTCATGTTCTAGCTATTTGCCTTGCAAGCTCTTTTATGCACTGCACCTGCTCTGTGGCTTATGCAGTGTGGTCAACATAGCATTGCTAACACTCTACGTTGTGTAAAGCTGAGGTTGAACAAGGGGATGATTCAGACTTTTACACTACTACATCTGCCCTGAGTCCCTCAGGGAGATAGGGTGGAATATAAATTTATTTATTTATTTATTTATTTATTTATTTACTTAAAGTATTTATATTCTGCCCTTCTCACCCCGCAGGGGACTCGGGGTGGATTACAATGTCCATATAAATGACAAACATTCGATGCCATAGACACACAACATATATAGACAGACATACTGAGACTACTTAACATTCCTGCTTTTTCATGAGGGTATTCTGGCTACCAGGGGAGCTGTCGCTTCACCATCCATTTGTGACACTGATTAAGTACTTCCTCATTCTTTGCATGCTTGCTGGAGATTTTTTATGGCATCGTAAATTAGCCTCCCTGCATAAGCGGTACCTAACTTTCCTCCTTGACAGATGCAACTGTCTTTCAGGCTGCAAAGGTCGACAGCAAGCTACACAAATAGGTCAGAAGCTCACTCCGACCCGAGCTGGCTTCGAACTCATGACCTTTTGGTCAGTAGTAATCTTAATGCAGCTGACTCACAGCCAGCTGCACCACAGGCTCAATATAATATTACGTTGAGGTCAGTGGTCCCATCCACCCACCTTCCAAATCCAAAACACAATAAAAATGAGCCATAAAAGTGTTGGCTGTCCTAAAAACAAAATCTCTTGGAAAAAGCAAATTACTCTATGTAGTCCAACTGAGAGGACACCCCAGAACAATGGGGAGAGGAAAAAGAAAAGTTCAAATAGTCTGAAAAATTATTAGAAGCAACTCAGCATCTAATTTGGTTGTCCCATAGGGGGACAGTGCACAACAGACAGCCAGAGCTCTTGGGGAACCACAAATCAGGCATTTAACCCCTCTGGGTGTCACAGTGTACCCACATTTTGAATTCACTGGAGTTCAAACTTTTATCTAAGTAACAATCCTGCAAAGGAGGTGAGGCTCAGACCCAGATGCTAGCTCAGTGTTACCAAGTAACCTCCCAAACGCTCACGTAATCTTAACAAAATAATCTGATGCTGTAACAATCCAGACTTGTCAATTATTTTTGGACTGTAATTCTCAACATTCTGTAGCCATAACAACTGAGGATTCTGGGAGTTCTAATTTTAAAAATGTAACTTTTACCTGCATGGATGCTAACTGCACCTCATTGCTCAGCACTCACATGTTTTGGATCATGTTGCCATTCTGAATGGAAAACATAGTCGTTCTCTTGGAAGAGAAGGCAGACTTAATAGTAAAAGGTAACACATGAGTTATGTTGGCTTCCTCCATACTGCAAACTCCACTCCCTGTCCTGAACACAGGTTGGCAAGCACATGCTGTACAGAGAAATCAGGTGGGTTTTTTGGTCTTTGTGTGCTCAACATTAGAGTCCACGAAAGATTAGAGTGGAGTACTCAGTGTGCATGTGTGTATATCTGTTTCTGGTCATCTGCAGAAGTCTCATAGTTTTCTCCTAAATCATTGTGAAAGCCTCTCAACTGCCACATTTGCTATTACAGCTCTGGGAAACAGCAACAATTCTTGCAACTTACAGGAAGCCCCACGGAAGATCTCAACTCAGAAAGATGGGTAAATAAATACAATTGTGGAAGCTGATCCCATATTCCTATATATACATTCAAAATGCAGTTTTATATGTGATCACTGGGGAGCATGAAAAGCTTAAAAATCAACATAGGCAAACTTTACTAGTAGATTTTGTGTCCTCTGAGAAACAGAATTGTTACCAATTATGGATTTCCTTGAGCAACAGAACGAACTGAGCCCCCATCATACTAGACATGCCAACCAGTGTCTGACAGTTGATTGTTGTATCATCAGTGCAATACAAACAATCCCAGCTCCAAATTAGTAATATACCATAAGGCATCACTGGACAAGATCTTTAGAAAACATAGAAACAAATTAACATCATATTCTTCTTTGAAGATCAAGAAAGTAGTGTTGCAATATGGAGCATTTGCTTTCTCCTGGTTTCTTAATTTAAATGTCATTTCCTTGAAGCTATTAGTTCTGAGGAAGAATATACAAATACCTTACAAAAAGCTATGACCTGTACCCAAAAGACTGGGACTCACAGTTTCACCAACCCCATATCAGACAAAATAAGTCCTTTCTAGGGATTTTCCAGCTCCTCGGGCTGATTCTATGCTTCTACTGGAGTTACCCCAGAGAACTAGAAAATGTGACTCTATGGTACCTTCCAATGGAAGACATTCATTTCAATAGGGTTTGCTATTATCTATTTTTTTTGTTTTTGTTTTCATGGTAAGTTCAGGAACATATCTCTAGATGTATATGGGGGTTGCATTGTATATAATTTTCCAGGCACAGTTAATAGTAGCTTTGAATCATGGAACAGCACCAAAGAAACCATTACAATCGTCTTTCCACATTTGTAGTTTTGATTTTTGTGGATTTGATTATTCATGGATTTGTTTTAAAATTTTCTCTCTAGGAGTATCTAGATCCTCCAGTGTGACTATGTTCGACTTTCTCTGATTATGCTGGAAGACATAGCAATTTCTAGAAGAACGCCTCCTGAGAAATTGTTAAATCCTCCAATATAATTCTATGGTCAGATTTCATGAGAACACAAGGTGTCATGCTGGAAGGCCTAGGTATTCCTAAAGAGGTGTTTTCTCAAGTAAAAAAGTAACAATTTTTAATGTGTGGTTTTTTACCTGTGCCCCTAATCCTAGTGACTGACTGACTGACTGACTGAATGTTTATTGTACCAGCCATAGGCCATGACATCAAATAATATACAATGTGCAATAAGCACTTTCCAATATAAATATTAAAACTTATTCTATATACTGGTTTTTTAAAGGTACAGTATCAGTGACATGATAACAATAACAATGTCTGATTTGTATCATTTATTTACAGTATTTATACTCTGCTCTTCTCACCCTGAAGAGGACTCAGAACAGCTTACACACACATAAGGCAAACATTCAATGCCACTTATACAATTAACAAGGACAGACAAACACAAACAGAGATAAAGGCAGGTTTTCTCATCTTATTTCCAGCATCTTGGAGGCTGTGTTTGACTCTGGCTACTGGGTGCGTGTGTGTGTGCTGAGGAGCTTTTCCTCTGACCAATGGCCTTTTAAAGGTGCCTTTATTACCTCCCCGCTAAATAAGGGTACCTATTTTATCTACTCACATTTCTGCGTTCAACCTTCTAGGTGGACAGTTGAGCTGGAGCTAATGGAGAGTGCTCACCCCATCTTGGCTTGAACTGCTGACCTTCCGATTGGCAGGATTCTTCTGCAGCACAATGGTTTTGTCTGATGTACTAAACTCGGCCCCTTAATCATCCCAAATTATCTCCTAATCCTTGTGAATTCAGAGATATGACTGTATATTTCTTTTTCCAGTGACACTTCCATACTGGAAATGGGGGAGTGAGGGAGGGACAACCTTGATCACAACTCATCTTTATTCAATCTACTTGCATTCCTGAGTATCACAAAATCAAATTTAGTATTTATTTATATATATTCTGCTTTTCTCCTAGATCAGTACCCAAAGTGGTGAACAACCTGTAAACAAAACCCATTGCAAACCATAAACAATAAATACCATAAAAATAAACAGTCATCAATTTATCCTGCTCAGTACCCTATGAAAGCCATGCAGCCATTAGCAATGTTATGCTTCCCCCCAAAGTGGCAATTTAGAAACTGAGTAGAGCTCAAAAAGAAGTTAGCTGAGCTGAAAAAAAACTGTATGAAAATGATTCTTTGAAATTACGCAACCAGTGGCTGAAATTGAGCTGTTGACTTCTGAACAAATTGAGAGACTTTGTTATGCTGTCGTGCCAGAGTTCTTAGGTCCTGTGCCTGTCTCACTTCTTTTGTACATTGAGATGCGTTTTATGTTAATGTCCTATGCTGCTGATGCATTTTACAGTTCCATATCCAGCAAGATGTTGAATGTAGTTTAACATATTGTAAGCCCAGAGATCTATATAGAAAAGATTACAAAATAAAGGGCTGGTTGTCAGGGCAATGAGTTCAGTGATAAAAAAAAATTCATTTAAAATGTAAGAAGATTTACAAGAGAAACCAGTTCTTTAGAGTTCCACACAAACATTTTTCCCAAACTCTCCTTTCTTCAGAAAAAAGGGAAAATTCAACAGCAGGATACTAAAGATATAACACGTAAGTGCTGAAAAATGTTTTGTTTTTATGAACATGATGCACCTGACCTTATAACCAAAGGAACACATAAAAAGAAGGGGCAAGAGGAGCAAGGTAAACAGACAAGGTGCTAATCTAGATGTTATTATGCAATATTGTGGTTATCTAATCATAGCAGGGCCATTCAACAGGGCCAGTATAGTTGGGGGAAGGAGGAGAGAGAAAAAAATTGGCATCAGGGCTAGAGCCTCCAAAAGGGGAAGGTTCAGGTACTTGTTTGAAGATGGAAACTTTCCAAACTCCACAGGTACAGGTGAGGGGGGAGAGCAGAGGAGGACTGGCTGGGTTCATGGCTCCACCCACACTTGGGTACAATCCTTTCTTGCTACACCTGGTGAGGGATAGATAGAGATATATATATTGGGAGGGCCCTGCATTCTGCTACAGTCCCTTAGCATCCTGGACAGAAAAGAAACCTTTTCACTATCCACCCCAATTCCACCTGCTCCACCCCAATAATGAGGAAAGAAGTCTGCACGATCGCTTTTCTCCGAGCTGTCTTTGTTGAGTTCTTAGCCACTGCGATTTTTGTCTTTTTTGGCCTGGGCTCAGCCCTAAAGTGGCCATCTGCCTTGCCAAGTGTTCTCCAGATTGCTCTGGCTTTTGGCTTGGCCATTGGCACAATGGCACAGACTTTTGGCCACATCAGCGGTGGCCACATGAATCCAGCAGTGACCATTGCCTTCTTTGTCGGGAACCAGATTTCTTTCTTCCGAATGCTCTTCTACATTGTGGCCCAGCTGGTAGGGGCCATTGCCGGTGCAGGTGTTCTTTATGGAGTGACTCCCATGAATGCCCGTGGCAACTTGGCAGTCAATGGGGTAAGTTTTTTTTTTTTTTTTGCTGTAACACTGTGGATCTAATTTATAATGTTGGTAGTATGGCACCCTGAGGAAAAAAATCTTAGACAAGTAAGGTGCCCACAGGGAAAATTAGTATCTCAGGAGAACAGCCCCAGGCTAACATGAAGACATTCTGTACCTTGCCCTGTTGCAGGTGCATTTCCACCTGCACATCACACTGTAGAGCAAGGATGCAGGTTTTCACGTATGAGACACTTTGGTAAATTACAAGGCGGTGTTTCTTCTTATATCCTAAGGGAGTGGAGAAAGTCACTCCCAAAAAAGAAAGAAAAAAGAAGATGCAATAAGTGCTTTAACTCCAGTATAGGTCTTTAAGAAGGATCTCATAAAGAGGTATGGAAGAAATAGCCAGAGAAGGGAGGACCCACTATTTTGAGACTGCATAAAATAGAGAAAAGAAGGACAGGAGGAATAAAAAGAAAATGTAACAATACTTTTAAAATTAAGTGGTTTTTATACTCACAGTAGCATTTATGGCTATAACCTCATGTTTCAATACATATATATTGAAATGTCACAGGAGATTGCTTTTTGAAAATCACCTGGAAACATTCTAAACTTATGCAGTTAGATTTTTGTGCATTCCTCTTTGAAAGGTGGTCAAAAAATGTGTGTTCTCTGCATTGGTAACGTTATTGCAGCTCTTTTTCAATCCCTATGAAGCACCACTATTAAACCCACAGATCCAGTGGGCTCTGTGACACTAAGCTTTGGCCTGAGCTCTGGCTTAGCTAAATAAACTTGGTTGAGGAGTCGCATTATGCTTGGGCAGAAAGGGGTATAGGAGCCTAGCTAAACTGCTACAATGACGATAGTAGATACCCCACACTGCAGAAACATGGCAAGTCTCTTGGCTCAACATCAAAAGTGACTGCAGGCTCCAAGTATCCTCTCTAAGAACCATGGTACAAACTTGTTTCCGAAAGGGATTGGGTTGTAGAAGACATTGAGTCAGCACTATGTATTACGTAAGGATTTTTTTAAGGATTTGAGCACCCACAAGAGTGTTGCCATTGTACATTAACTGCCAAGGCTTTGTTGTTAGGATTTGCAATTTAGCGAGGAGTATACAGAATTCACAAACTATGAAACCCAGGAATCCATGCAAAGCAGCCATGACATTTAAAATGGAATCATGGCGCTATGACTGCATGGTGTGAGCGGATCCCATGTGTCCACATGCCAGCTCATTCTGTCTTTCTCTTATTTTGAAGAATCCTATGTCATTCAAATATAAGATTATCAATTAACAGTTCATCAAACATCAAATTATTTGGTGTGCAATGCACAGTTCATAAAAGTAAGTCAGGCAGTGGTTTCATGAGATTAAAATTGCTCTCCAAAAGTGAACTGCTTTTGTACCATATGCATCAGCTTTTTGTATTCTTCATATCAAAGTGTGGATAAGGGAGAAGGTTTTTTAATGCAAAGGAACTCTCTGGCAAATGTAGGATTCAAATGGATTACAATCCTGGTTGAAGCAAGAATTGTTTTCATCCTCATTGGGAAAAATATGCAATGCCCCTACTTAAGAGACTTAAAAGTACATTAACCTTAGTGTAGCAAAGATATAGTGTTAGCCAAAGAAGAGAAATAGCTCAAAGTTGTATTAGAGAGCCAAGACTTCACACTATTTCTCAAAAGTCTGAGATAATCTCTTTGGTACTTAAGTACAAAAATTTTAAATTCAGGGGGTATCTCACAGGTACAGCTGTACCTAGTAAGTCTGAAAAGATGTCTGTTTGAATGCTGCAATATATACAGACCCACTTCATGTAAGCATGTTGATCTTGATATAGATCAACAATTTGTGTACACAGGTCCACAGATTGTACCTGTGTTGAATGCAACAGGTGAAATTCCTGACAAAAGAGAGACAAATGTGGGATCTCTCCTAAAGGGGACTTTCCCCCTTCCCCCAGAATGTCTTTGTTCATTGCAGTAACCATGAAATCCCTGGCACTTTTTTTGCAGAGGAAAATGGGCTGAAAATAAAATTCTATAGATGCATGATGAATGTAGTTGTTTATTTAGCATTATGAACCACACCCACATACACTGGGGAAGGTCCATGAGGGCAGAAATTTCAGCTCCCTGTCACAAAGAATTAGAATCTAATGAAAATAGTGAGCCACATTTCCCAAAAGCATTCTTCAGCTGTCTACCCTCCTTAAGTATCTTTATTTACTAAGAAGTGTGCTCCTTTGATTTCCAGAAAGAAATGTGTAAGAATGGAGTCTAAGTCTGTTTCTTTTTCTCCCAACAGCTCAGCAACAACACAACTGCAGGCCAGGCTGTGGTGGTGGAGATGATCCTCACCTTCCAGCTTGTGATGTGTGTTTTTGCTTCAACTGATAGCCGCCGAAACGACCACGTGGGCTCCCCTGCTCTGTCCATTGGGCTGTCTGTCACTCTGGGTCATCTGGTTGGGGTGAGTACTTCTTGCTGTGGTTGTCTGGTAACTATGCGGAAAGAGGAAAGAGAAAAGGAAGGGTGAAATGTCAAATCATACATACAGGGATGCCAGCAACTTTGGCCAGTGAGGACTCTGGGAGCATGTACTCCCAGTTATGACTGGGTCACATTGATGTAAAGGAATTTATGTGCAAAATAACTAAGGAAAGTCAACTGTAGTTTAGAGTCTCAGCAACAACACTCAAACACACTCACATAGATATAAATATAATGTAGATATAAATAGGTCTGAGAAAATAATACACATTTTTCTGTTAACACAGCTATGGAACCTTAGATGTAGTATAGTTTGAAGCCTCAACATGTCTTAATCCATCCAATACCTATTGTCTTACAAAGGTAGAGTCTTGGTGGTGGGTCTGTCAATAACTGTATACACCCTATATACAAAACCTGAAGGTAATTTTCTGAAAATGGCTGGGTGGACAAAGAATTTGGCTCTTATCATTTTGGATAAGGGATACTCAACCTGTAGCTAATTCACACTGAATTCTTAACTGACCTTTGCCATTTCCCTCTTCCCCATTCAACAGATTTATTTTACTGGCTGCTCTATGAATCCTGCCCGATCTTTTGGTCCTGCTGTTATCATGAAAAGATTCACCTCTGCTCACTGGGTAAGAAACTAACGTTATTCACCTTAGGGATGAAAAATAAGTCCTGCAATTGCTCTTGATTTCTACAAGGACTGCTTTTTATGGAGGCAAGAACAAAGTCCAAATATATAACATGAAAGTATTTTAATGAGCTTCAACACATGGCAATTTTCATTTGTACAGTATTTACAGGGCTACAATAAGGGACCAATAAATTGCTTCAAGGTCTACAATGCCATAATAGTAAAAGTGATGATGATAAAATCTGGAATTTGTTCACCATCCTACATACTCATATAAAAAGGCATTTTGTGTCCCTGACCTGAGAAATGGAAAGTTTCAGGGAAATCTGAGAAAATGCAAACTTTCCTTTGGAAGAAATTTCACTATAAAACAGTTTTTTTTTCATTTCTTCATGAAGTTCCTGTACTATTTTAGGAACATCAGTCTTAATAGTGAAATCCTTGCCAGCTACATTCAAAAAGCTCAAGCTACACTTTTTAAAAATTACCTGCTTACTTTTTGAAAAAAGATCGTTTTGCTATCTTACAATTTTTGAATGTTTATTTTATTTTGTATAATCGGGAACCTTTCTGTTTTTAGTAGATCTCAGAAGCAATTGCAATTTGCACATTGGTGAAATTATCATTTATTCTCACTTTAGCCCTTAAACAAATGAGCCAAAAAGGAAGAAATTGTAATTTGATATCTCAGCTGGCCATCCAATTATATGTAATGTGGGAATGGGTTTATCTTAGGCCCCTTCTACACGGCCATATAATCCAGAATATCAAAACACATTATCTGCTTTGAACTGGATTATATGAGTCTACACTGCCATATATCCCAATTCAAAGAAGATAATCTGGATTTTACATGTCACTGTAGAAAGCACACGTCTGCATAAATTCCCACATGGCTATCTGTTGGGGGTGCTTTGACTGTGCTTTCCCTGCAAGGCCGAAAGAGATTGGACTGGATGGCCCCTGGGTTGTTGTCACTGTTGTTGTTATTGCAAAGGCTGGAGTCTTCTACTGAAATACCGTTAAGTTTATGTTGGTTAAAATTGTTCTTAATTTTAAATATTGTATTTTTCTTTTGTATTTCAAACAGATATGTGCAATGTGCATAGTTATTTGTTCATGCTTTTTCCAATTAGTTCACATAAATATTATTCCTCCATCTTCCACTTCCCTGGCCCATCTGTCAAATTTTAAAATGCAATGTGGCCCCTGGACCCAAAAGTTTCTTGAGGATCCATGAGAACTATTTCCTTCAAAAAGGACTCCACAGGGCTTTAAAAATTTGAGAACTCCTGTGTAGAGTCACATACTGCAGTTCAATGCAGAATGCATTATGAGAGTTTACACTGACCACATAATGTTGTTTCAAACTGTATTACATGGCAGTGTATATGGGCCAAAGGTGGGAAATAGGAGCTAGAATCTCGTTGGGTAATCTAAACTAAAGTAGACAAATTCAATCAATTGTTGCATACAGAGTCAACACATAGGTGAATCCAATTGATCCAGGACCCTTCCACATAGCTGTAAAAATCCACATTGAACTGGATTATATAGCAGCGTGGACTCAGATATTCCAAGTCAAAGTAGATATTGTGGATTATCTTCCTTGATATTCTGGGTTATACGGTTGTGTGGAAGGGCCCTCAGTAGATCTCTTCCATCTAGTTAAAAGATAAATTTTTATATCATATACATATTTATATACAGGTCAAGATGAACAGGTTAAAAAGCAGGAAGTCAACATAACTGGCTGGAGGGATTCTGAAAGCTGTGATGTAGTGGTTTGTGTAAAAGACTTTGACTCTGGAAGTCCAGGGTTTGAAGTTCTGCTCAGCTCGGAAAACCACCTAGGTAACAAGTCAAACTCTCTCACCTTTAGAAAAGAGCAATAAATCCTTCATCCCCAACAAAACCTATCAAGAAGACCCCATAATAGTTACATTTTAGAGTACCAAATTGGAAACAACTAAAAAACGCAGAACCACAGTGGAGTCCAAAAAGTAACTTATCCAGGTTCTCTTACATTGAATATACTGTAACTATACAGAAGCAGTGAGTATTCTGTTATGGCTAAGCTGGTTCCAAAGGAAAGTCTAAAAACCTGGGATGGGTTCTAATTCCTTTTCTTTGGGTTATTCCAGGTCTTCTGGGTGGGGCCAATCGTTGGAGGTATCTTGGCTTCTCTGCTTTACAACTACTTTCTGATGCCACACTCAATGAATATGTCTGAGAGGGTAGCCATCGTGAAAGGTACCTACGAGTCAGAAGAAGAATGGGAAGAGAAGGAGAAAAGCATGGAAATGTCCTCTCCATGAACAAAAGAATTCTGGACAAGGACAACACAATGGATCTTACATCTTCTGATGCTGAACTAACATTTGACTGTATACTTTGTAATCCAAAGAAAACATAGCTTCCGCTGGTGCAGAGGGTTTAAAGAGGGAGATATTATGTTTGTAAATAACTGCCTTGAACACATGTCTCTTATGACATGGGGAAAACACTCCTGAAGAAAAGGCCATTCCAGCATAGCTTTGTTTGGGGAGTGACACGTCTCAGTAGCAATACCAGATCATGGATGGTTATCTGAACCTCTCATTGTGTGCAAAGGCTTGTTCTAGAGCTGTGCCTGAGAGATCTGAGCATATCTTGTAAAGTTTTGAGTTTTATTTTAGCTATAGCTGTTTGACTTCCCAATAGAATCCCAGAACAAATTCCCCAGATCTCTATATACTTTGAGTTTTCAGGATTGGGAAAGCAATGTGGCTTGAGCTTGAGATTTCTAGGCTTGAAGCCATTTCATATGTGCAATAATGCTTGCAAATAGCTTTTTATATGCATAGTTCATAGTCAACTCACTTAATAGCATAAACAGGAACAACTCAGGGTTTGCTCGTGGAATAGAAGAAAGACATATAGTAACCATTCTGTGTTAAGGGCTATGATGCTTGAATGAGATACCGCAGGGGCTAGAAGACTGAACTTAACTAGTTGCCATTAAGTTCATCACTGAATCTCTGGAAGCAATACGGTTATGTATCTGGGTAGACTGTGAGATAGTAAGGAAACAAGCTTTCTCAGGAACTGCAGGCACCTTCTCAGTTCAGAATTGCCTAGACTTAAAGGATTAAAGCAAGTTTGCTCTCACCTGAATTCAGTCTTGCCTTGATTCAAAACAAGCATCCAATGGAGGCAAATTAATTTTAATACATCCTACATAGCATGGTAATCCTTCTATAGATACACTGCAATCCTAATGTTTCTGGTCTTTGTGTTTGAGGGAGAAGGAGAAAGTTGGAGGTAGTCATGTGGGAATGGAGCGAAGCTTGAAGTTTGCTCCTGTGGCTGGTGGCAACAGAGGTGACAGGAGCCGCCTCTATTTGTATTTTAGGCTAACTTAATGGAACTATGCAAAAAGGAACATATGACAACTGTATCCACCTTTGGCTAGGAAGGAGACACCTGCTGTCCCATTCCACAACATTGTAACCTGAGTGGGGAGAGGAACAAATTGCTGTTTTCTGCACAGCTTTTGTTTTTACGTTTTGCTAACAAAGAATGCAACTTGTTTTGGGCCTTTGTGTTTGAGGGAGAAGGAGAAAGTTGGAATTTCTGTAATATATTGTATTATTTATTGTCAGTAATAAAATAAATTGTGCATCAAGAACAAGGTCTCGGATATTTAGAGATGGGACTGGTGGCAGACTAATTGTTCAGATTTCATGTAGGTAACTTGTGTGTGTGCATATGCCTTCAGGTCACTTATTGAGTTATGAATTTCATAGGGTTTTTGTAGGGAAGGTGACTTTGTCAATTCCTTTTTCTGAGTCTAGCCTACAGCATCTTTTATTTCTTGGAGGTCTCCCATCCATGTAATAGCCAGGGCTAACCAGAAGGGACCTGGTGCCTTTAGGGTATTTAGACAGCTGCAGGTAGCTGAACTGGTTTGTAACAGTAGAATTTCCAGATTCAAGCCTCCAGCAAGGTTTCTCCAGTCCAGAAAGGCCCAGGACACTGTTAATTTACTGTGGCGGGAACATAAAGATGACAATTACTATTACTCCTGTTAACAGAGATCACATGCGGGGTCACATAAATGATCATATGGCTGTCCCAGGTAGTCCATTTCTTGATAGTACGGTGCATACCAGGCATGTCCACTTATAATTCAGACTTTTTCCTTGCCTGAAGGAGCCCCGCATGTGTTTGTTACTACACAGGGCCTCAAATATCTGTCTGGTCACCATAGGGTTGCTAGGTCAGCAGTTTCTCATGCTCTGACATCTCAAGGTAGAGCCTAGTGAAGTCACAGGGGCAAGCCCTTGTGTAAAAAAAATGCAAAACAATACCTATTCATACCTGTGTGTCCATGTGAAAGTGAGATAAACAATGTGGATTACTTGTATTCTTCCATAAAGAAATATTATGTACAACATATTGCTAACCAGAAGGCCTATATAGTCTGATGCTATAAGGCATGGATATAAGTGGTTTAAGATTTGGATTATGACCTTGGAAACTAGGCTTCAAATCCCTGTTTGGCAATGAAGCTCATTGGGCGACCTTGGGCAAGTCACATCTCTAGCCCTCAAAGAAAAACAATGACAAAACCTCTTCTGAACAAATTTTGCCAAGAAAATCCTATCATAGAGTGGTCTCAGGGTTGCCTTTAAATAGAAACAGCTTGTAGGCACTAAACAAACTAATACTAATGTATATTCTTCAGTCTTTGTATGTCCGTAGAGCTCTGTGTAAGAGATATAGTCATTGCCTAAACATTGTGATCTGATAGTTAACTATTACTTGGAGATTATCAAAATATGTTTTTTCTCCATATTCATGGTTGTACAGCCAAACTCTTTCTTGAAATATCCTAGACTTCCCTTACTTGCTACTCCCTTGTGTTATTCTAATGCTCTTTTCACCAATTATATGTCACATCTCAACTGGAAGAACATCTGAGAAAAGGACTTTCACCCATTTCTGCCTAGCCCTTTTGAATTATTATTTAGGGCTTACAGCAAAAGTGATAAAGTGTTTTAGAAATATTACTTTAGTAAAGCATTAGGGTCATTTTCTTTTGTTGTTAATATTCCTCCTCCCTCACTTGATCTCTATTTAACCTGATCTCCTGGGAACATCTGCTGTGCTTTTGGAAATGGCCATCTTCAAAGGTCACACAAAGAGACAGCATGGGGAGGGGGATAATGAGTTAATTTAAAATGTTCTGGGGAGTGGGAATGAAGGGAAGTTCATAGTAATGCCAAGAGTTCCCTGGGGATATGTCAGAATGGGGATAATACTTCCTTCCCATTATACATACACACAGGTCCTTGGGACACAACAGTAGGAAAAGTCTATTGCCCTAAGGTCTGGCTAGTGGTTCTCTGTGGAAATGGGATGGTGGGCTAGAAAGGCCTTTAACTGGTGTAAACAAAACATTTCTTATGGCATGGTTAAGAACCTATTGTATGTTATGAGTTTCCCGATCGGACTCCTATCAGACAAGTTGGACAACAACTTTCTCCATCTCCAGACAACATAGAGAGGCATCAGGTTGGGGGCACCTTCTGTAAAGTCTATAACAGATTTTGCCTCAAGAGGTTTCTACCTGGTTGCCCAATACAATTCTTTGCAAAGGGCGGAAACTCATTTGGGCACAACTGCTCAAAAGCACAACAAGTAACACCCATATCTGAAGAAATGTTGAGGGAATTGTGCAGTCATGCCCAAATGCACAGAGAACAGCTGATTGACAGTAAGAAAAATAAAACACAAACTGTCATCTTAAGAACCACAATAAGACATGTTTGGGCAAGCATGTGCTGAGCCAGCATTCGCTGATATCTGAGGTTGGTAAGGAAGCTTTCCGGACAAACAGGAAAGTTAGCACTTCTCCCTTTAGAAACCAATCAACTAGAGTGATTTTTCTCTTATTTGTTTTCAAATGTCCTCAGAAGGAATGTTAGTAAGATGGCGGGTGGAGTTGGGGGTCTGCTAAATTCACATACCATGTAATATCAAGGTACAGGAACCACCTCTAAAAAGAGAAGCATGGAGATCTGCTGGAGAAATCAACATTCAAAAGATCCTTTCCTGTGTTCCCACTAGATGTACCCATGAGAGTGGTGGGATAGAGAGAAGACCCCCTGCAAGAACCACAAAACATGAGCAGATTCATATGGGAGAATATAATCCTTCAAATAACAGCAAGTCATTATGTGCTCAGTTATGAGCTAAGCTCTTACAGCATTTTTCTAGAAGTAAAAGCGTATTTACGCAATTTCTAGTATATTAATCAGATATTGTGTTCCTTTATGAGAAGGTCATGCACAATTGTAAATAGTAATAAAATTATGTCTTAGTTCTCATTAGTCCCAAAGAAGGTTCATTGAATGTATAGGATATTCGAAAGGACTAGCTTTTCTCCATCCTGTCGAACAGGGATTTCTCTCTGCCCCATTATCATCACAGGTACATCTGTTGGGGACACAGGAGAATGCTCTTATCATTGGCCGTTCCCAAGTTATGGGGCTGCCTTTCCTTTTGCAAAGACTCTTCTATTTCAATGGGCATTTGATGAGTGGCTGTTTTGCACAATGCTTTGGACATTTTTGCCTTTCGCATTGGTGTGTTTTAATCTGTTTTATTTAATTGTTTGATTTTGTTTTGACTTTTATATTGCGTGGACTTTAACAATCTCATTTTTTAAATGTTGTAAGCCACCTTGAGTCATGATATAGGAAAAGATGTTGATACAAATCATCATCATCAGCAGCATCATCATCATCTGCTTCAGAGAGTAGCAATGGGCTTTAGGTCCATAGTTCTACCTTTTAAAGAGAATTCTCCTTATGAACACCATAAACTGCAAAAGACTATTCAACTCAATCAACCTTAGCAGGGGAAATATGTTGTTTGACAAGGTAAGCTTATGTAAGGCAAGCCCTAATGCACCATAAACAAAGAGTAAGCTTGCTTTTCAAAAGCCTATTTGTAGATCTGTGTTAGCTAATGCCTCTTTGGGGCTATTTGTAAACATCAGTTGATGCATACAGTATGCGCCAGCTAAACTTGAAGAGAACAATTCATGTACTAGCACGTACTAAGTATATAATGTGGCTAGTGATTGAGATGGACATTGGACAAATACATGAAGAACACCTGCTGTATGCAAAGGCTATTATGATGAGTTTGTGCAGTGCAGAAAATGCTGTTTCCCACAATGCAGAAAATGCTGGTGTTTGTGCACAAGATATATTTATGTATTAGAATTTAGAACCAAATATTTATATTAAGAAATAGTGGCTGACATCCTATTACATATTTATTATGTCATAAGCTAGACACATAACAACATCAATATTTGAATACATGACGACCAAACTAATGCAACAACTGAGAGTGACCTGAAAAACCCACTTTTGAAAAGAAGCTGTATTATCAATACAGAGATTTTCAAAGTGCGGAGAAGTAGGATGGTGTGCAAAGAAAGATGCAACCCTCTCCTGAAAGCAAAGCACTTAACAACAAGCAGTTGTGAGAGGCCCACACATGGAAACTTAAGGCTGCTTGGAAACACATGGAAACTTAAGGCTCACAAAAGGCTTCACTTACAGGAGAGAGGAGAGTGCTTCTTTACTTACTTTCCCATCTTGCAACACTATCTATATTGGTGTTGCCTTTAGTTTCTAAGGTGTGTTTTGGGGAGTTATATTAGAAGATAAAGCTACAATGATCGATTGCTATTGTTGTAGCTACATTTCCAGATTCAAGATCATGACCAGCCCTTTCTGCATAGAAAAAGCTATTTCCTGTACAGAAAATGCTCAGTCATAAAACGAAGTCTCTCTCTTTCCTCAGACTGCCTTACCACATACTCTTGTTAAAAAAGGCAATGGAAGCCTTGCATAATAACTTGAACTATCTGGAAGAAACATGGGTTATGTATTAAACTAATAAATAAATATGGAGAGACATTGGGTACTTCAAATTCTGTCTGCTGCAAAACAAACACTATGGGTAAATTGGTTTTATTTCCATCTTGAAAGCATCTGACTGAACTTCACTCTAAGTCTGGTGACATCCACGAGTTTTAATTTTTTGTGCATTCAAACTATTGAACATTACATTTTCTCTGTCATGAATATGAAAAAAATTGAATATTTTGGTAATTCTTCAAAAGGAAATTGAAGTGTAATCCCACCCCCATCCTCTGTCTTCCCTGTCAAATTTTACAAGTATAGCTATGGAGCATCCCATGTTTTACCTGCCACTTAAAAGTTTTTCTGATTATAAAAAGAGATAGCAATCCTAACTGATTCCTAACATGGCTAAATATACAGATATTCAAATTAATACTTTTAAATTTTAATCACACGAAGTAGTGGTCCTGGGTCAACATTACAACAACGTGGTATATCCCCATCAAAAAGAATAGCAGCCAATTCAGGATAGATGCAAACAGGGAAAAAAAAGAAAGTAAGAACTTCTTCGAGTACTGAAGGATTTTTTTTTTAAATTAGTTGTAGTGACAAGGACTACTGACTACTAGCTTAATTGGGGTTTCTGAACTTGGTACATAGGAAGCCCAATGTACAGTGCATTGCAGAAGTCCAATCTTGAGTTTACCAGTGTGTACACTACCATCTTCAGAT